AAATTAACAGTGTATCTTATATTAATAATGACACTAGAATTAATGGATGTGGTATCCCTAGCCAAATTGAAATTTGTAATTACTTTCTACAAATTTAGTTAAAAGCTTACTGTAGCTTTTCTCTGAGGACATTTAAATTCTGTGATTCTACATCATCTGATGATTGTGGCACACTTGTTTCTGGTCAGACAAGGCTGTGTGGATGAAACTTCAATAAAGCTGATAAGAGAGGTGACTTTGGGAAAGCTATTAACTTGGCCAGGCCCAGTGGCTCACACATGTAATCCCAGCACTTTGGGAGGCCAAGGCAGGAGGACTGCTTGAGGCCAGGAGTTGCTATATGGGCAACATAGCCAGACCCCATCTCTATTTATATATATTAAAAAAAAAAAAGAGGCCAAGCTTTGTGGCTCATGCCTGTAATCCCAGCATTTTGGGAGGCCAAGGCAGGCAGCTCATGAGCCCAGGAGTTCAAGACCAGCCTGGGCAACACAGTGAGAGACGCTGTCTCTACAAAAAATAGGTGAGCCAAGTGGTGCACACCTATGGTCCCAGCTACTCAAGAGGTTAAGGTGGGAGGATTGCCTGAGCCTGGGAAGTTGAGACTGCAGAGAGCTGTGATCATGCCACTGTACTTCAGAGCCTGGGTGACAGTGAGACACTGTCTCAAAAAAAAAAAAAAAAAAGAAAAGAAAAGAAAAAGAAAGAAAAGAAGGCTTAACCCAAAGTAGCATTATTCAGCTTTACTATCACCTCTTTCTTTGACCCTGAACATCCTTGGAATGTTTCTGAAAGTTAATCCTTTTTTTCCCCCCAACATTTTTGAGACAGGGTCTCACTTTGTCGCCCAGGCTGCAGTGCAGTGATTCAATCGATTCAATCACAGCTCCCAACTCAGCCTCCTGAGTAGCTGGGACTACAGGCATGCACCACTATGCCCAGCTAATTTCTTTTTTTTTGTAGAGACGGTTTTGCCATGTTGCCCACACTGGTCTTGAACTCCTGGGCTCAAGAGATCCTCCTACCTTGGCCTCCCAAAGTGCTGGGATTACAGGTGTGAGCCACCACTCCTGGCCAATCCAATCTTAAGTGTAAATATTTACCCAACATTTTAGTGGGAAAATGTGCAATGAGCTTTGTAGAAAAGTCAAGAACTGTGTGAGGTCCTTTCTTCTTGCATCTCTGGCAATTGTGCTCTTCTTTTGCTATTAAGTTCTTCATCCTTCTTCTTGGTAAGGATCTGTAAGAACAGCAGTGAAAATAAAATATTCAGCAAATAAAGGCAGGAGGAAACGGAAAGGATATTACTGAGATAAAGGGGGAAGTGTAAAACATTAAAAGAACAAAACCTGAAAAATTGTTCCAAAGCTGCTTCCCTTGTAGTACAGCTTTCCAGGCCTTGTGGCTCTCAGACTCATTCAATCTCTAGGGTATCCTCCCTGTGGATCAAGCAACCTACTTTCCATAAACCTAGTTTTCCCTGTATCTCCCTGATGAGATTAAGGAGTCTGCCAGTGGTGGAACACCGATGTAACTCAAATTGCTTACATGGTAATACATAACCCCTACTCTCAACCACCTTCTCCATTCCATGTGTAGAATGAGTTAGTTCTCTTTAAATTCCCTGATGTCAAATCTGCCACTGAAACATATTGGTTAAAAGCATCATAGGTCCTACTTGATGAATCCTCAAAGTCAGCAGGGTTAGAAGAGATTTGTGTATCCTCTTTATGATACCGATTATTATAGATCTCAGTATCACGCTGCCTTTGTATTTTAAAGTTATAACTGACTAACACAGACTTGTCTCGCTGGAGCACACCCAGGAAGAAGATTGGTGTTTTGTGTTGATCACAAAACATTCAACTAAGTTCATAAGGAAAGATTCCAAATAGCTAACACGTGTATCATTAAATAACTCTCAAAACCTCTTTTTACAGATAAAAGGAAATTAAGTCTCTCAGCTCAGAAAGGCACCCTGGGAAGCATTATCTTTTAATGTACCAAAAATGTCTTTGTATATCTCTGTATTAGATGCTTTTATAAACAACATGTATTATTATGAGAAAAAAATGAAAATTTCCCATTTTTATTTTAAAAAGGTACAGAGAAGAGTCCAAATGAAGTCTCCAAATGAGAATATGCCAGAGAACATCAAATTCCCAAATCTGAGTAACTATCTAAATTTCTGAGGTCGCAGCTGGGCCAACATGGCAAAACCCCATCTGTACAAAAAACAGAAAAATTAGCTGAGTGTGGTGGTGTGAACCTGGAGACCCAGCTACTCAGAAGGCTGAGGTGGGAGAATCGCTTGAGCCGGGAGGTTTAGGCTGTTGAGGCTGCAGTGAGCCAAGATCGCACCAATGCACTGCAGCCTGGAGGACAGAGCAAGACCCTGTCTCAAAAAAACAAGGAATTCTGAGGTCAGCAATTAAATATTTGCTTTTAACTTTCTACTAAAGTACAAAAGAAAAATAACACAATTTGTACAAAATATCAGGATAAGCATAGCAATAAATCTGGCTTAACGTAAATGTAGCCATTTATTACTGGGGAATGGCAGACATGCTTCAATTAACCCCAAGATAGAAATAAAATTATATCCCGGGGATGTCAACTCAGTTTGTACTAAATATTGTTTAACTGCAACTAAATGTTAGTTTCTTTCCTTCCAGTTCAGAAATGTATCTTAATAACTTTTCTTCATTATCCTTTCATCTTGAAAGTACCTGAATTAAGAGTGCTATTATTCTTTAATCCATTAATAGGGTTGCCATAAACCAAATAGGGCTTAATCCATTAATAGGGTTGCCATAACCCAAATGCTTTCTTTTCAGAGTAAAATTTTTTTCTGATGTTATTTTTTTTTTTCTTTTGAGGCAGTCTCAATGATCCATGTATCCAGTATTAAAGCATGATTCCATCTGACTTTATTTTTTGAGATGAGTCTGTCACCCAGGCTGGAGTACAATGGTATAATCACAGCTCACTGCAGGCCTTAACTTCTGTGCTCAAGCAACCCTCCTGCCCCAGCCTCCCAAGTAACTAGGTCTATAGGCTGGGACCACAGGTGTGCGACACCATGGGCCAGTTTGTTTTTGTTTTGTAGAGGTGTCTCACTGTATTGCTCAGGCTGGTCTTGAACTCCAGGCCTCAAGCAATCCTCCCACCTCAGTCTCCCAAAGTGCTGGAATTACAGGCATGAGCCACCATACCTGGCCCACTTTTGTAAATGAGAGAGCATCATGATTTTACAATACCATGATTATCATGATTAATAACACACAAAACAGCTGGGCACGGTGGCTCACACCTGTAATCCTAGCACTGTGGTAGGCCAAGGCAGGCAGGTCACGAGGTCAGGAGATCGAGACTAACCTGGCCAACATGGTGATACCCCATCTCTACTAAAAATACAAAATTTAGCCAGGCATGGTGGCAGGTGCCTGTAATCCCAGCTACTCGGGAGGCTGAGGCAGGAGAATGGCTTGAAACCACAAGGCGGAGGTTGCAGTGATCTGAGATCGTGCCACTTCAATGGAGTCTAGGTAACAGAGCAAGGCTCTCTCAAAAAAAAAAAATAATAATGCACAAAATGGAGATCTCCCTGCCACATAAGCACTAGGCTAAGCCAAGTATCTGAATGTTATTGCTTCTGTGAATATACAGTTTAATTTTCCTTGCAGCAGAACTGAAAAGCTAGGGCCAATTTCAGAATCAAATCTTTAGTTTCTTAGAAGGGCCTCTCATAATACTTCAAGAACCAAATTCTTCTACTACTATAATGTTGTTTGCAATTATACTAATCCTGCTTAGTAATTCCAAAACCACTGTAAAATACTATGATACATATAATATAAAGTTGAACCAAAATATAATTTAACATTTAATAATTGCAAATATATTTATTACAATTTACAGATTAGTTATGTTATATACACAAATAAATTTTAACTATAAAATCCCAACACACTAGTTACATTTAAATCATTGATCTGTAGAAGCCGATTTAGAGTCTTCTAGTCCCCTAACTTTACCTTCCTTAAATTATACAAAAATAAAATCTGATAGTTTTCAAGTCAAACATGAAGAGGTGTTACATTTTATTACTCAGAAATGGAACTTTTACCTGTCTGTACAAAGCCTTTTACATGCTACATTGACACTTAAAGCACCATTAATAAGACTTCAAATGTGTAAAATGTTTAATTAAAACCTCTAAAGATTTTCTCTTTAAGATTATGGGGGTTTTAGGGCAGGCGCGGTGGCTCCAAGCCTGTAATCCCAGCACTTTGGGAGGCGGAGCTGGCGGATCACAGGGGTCAGGAGATCAAGACCATCCTGGCTAACACGGTGAAACCCCGTCTCATACTAAAAAGATACAAAAATATAGCCGGGCGAGGTGCGGGGCGCCTGTATCCCAGCTACTTCGGGAGCTGAGGCAGGAGAATGGCGTGAAACCCACGGAGGCGGAGCTTGCAGTGAGCTGAGATCCCGGCCACTGCACTCCAGCCTGGGCGACAGAGCAAGACTCCGTCTCAAAAAAAAAAAAAAAGAGAAGAAAAAAAAAAAAAAAAGAATTATGGGGGTTTAACTTTGTTCTAACTAGAATTGGGATGAAACAAGAATTTTGCTTTTTTCTCCTTCAGTCCAACTTTAAAATAGTCCTTTCTGTCCTTCTTATCAACTTCTGATCACTTCTTTCAAGGAGGTTAGTATATGGAAGAACTCTTAATCAAGCTTTCACGTATATGGTAGTGAGGTTAGAATCCCATGGGGAACAATTTTCCAAAATCCAATGAAATATGTCTCATTATTTTCAAATACACAGAGGTGCTAGGTTTCAGAAACAGAAAACACACCGTTAAGTCTCGGAAATAAAATGTTTTAGCCTGGTTTTAAAAGAATGCCTATTATGTTGTCAAAAGGCTTTTTTCAAGGCAAATGATGCCTGCTTTCCAACCGACATCGCTATTGCTTGAAACTAGCCTGTTTTCATGTTATTAGACCATCCTGTAAATGTGCTCCCTATGATTACCTAAAGTGGAGATGCACAAAACACACAGAATAAGGGCTCTGCAAAAACTTGACCAGTTTTTATAGTGTTGCATTCTCAATGTGTTTAATTATGAATATATAAACAGTGGAGGCAGTTCGCAGAACCAGACAGAAATAAAATAATGACCAGGTAGATTGTAAACTGAGGTAGTAACCCTGTAAGCACTTCTGATGAAAAATTCATCCCCACACTTAAATAAGTTCAAAACTAAGAGGTCACCTATTCTACTTATGTCTTCCGTTACCTGTGACAGGAAACACACGGAATGAAAGCAGACCACTGAAGAGTTAACTACCCCTCAGCCTAACTTATGTGTACCTTGTAAAGCTAAACAAATAAACCAAACACAAGCAGTCAATGCAAAGACTTAATTCAAAGCAAGCTTTGGGCTAAAGATATTAAGACTTTGTAGTCATTAATCTATACCTCTATCCTTTCCTGAAAGTAAAGGCCTTGCCATTACTTCTCTCCTTATTAAACAGTAGGACACAATAAACCTGGATACTGACTGAAGTTTATATTTTACATTTCAAATGTGAAAATTCAGAACTGCCCATTTGCAATTTTACAGTGGGATCCTGACAGGTTTTAAAAGTGACAGTGCTGAGGCATGATATTCGTTAACACTGGTTTTCTATTGAGAACATATACACCAAAACCAAATTGCTCTGAGATGTCTCCCATTTTCTTTCTAGGAAATTGCTAGGCTTTTAAGTTTAAAAAATAAATGATTATGATGTAATTATTACTTTCCAGAGTGTTCTGCAACAACTTCAACCTGTTAAAGAGATACAAAGAACTATATTAAACTGGGAACTACAATAACATATACAGAACCCTCTCCAAACAACAGTTTCCAAAGAAATTAAATACATTAGACATTAAAACTTGGTAGAAAGATGCAGCTTTCCCAAAGTAGTAAAGTACTGCACATGTGGATTTTCTGGCAATCCTTGGAAATATCCTAGGTATAACTTAATGTAGAAACAAAAGGTTAACACACATTTTCAACCCAAGTCATTTTTACAAGAAAAAAAAAGTGATACAAAATAATGTACTTTAAGTTGGTAGCATACACAAGGTTATTTTTCAGCCTAAGGTAGATAGGCCAAATCATTGAAATAAAAAAACATAGAAAAACATAAAAGCCCATTAACTTCTGAATTTTGGGAAAGAAACAAGAGTCCAAAGTTTTCAAATAGGCACACATAATTTAGATTAGAAATGAAAATGGGCTTTAAGCCCTATAAATATTGTTTTCCAAGAAAATAAGTTTTGAAAGTGCAAAATGACAACTCAAAAAGGTCCCCTTTTCACCTCATGCATGCAAAGGACATTTAAAAGCACATCCAACTAAATCAAAAAAGGGAGGATTCGAAATTACACTAGTTCATCCTTCATCATCAGGGCTGGCTTCAAACCTGAATGTTTCTGAGTGGGATATGTTGGGGAAAAAAAAAAATTAAACTATATCCAAAAGGACAGCTGCCAAGATTTGTTTTTAAAAGACACCTCTCAGGTAAGAGGTAGTGTATGCTAGGACTACAGGCTGCCAACTCATCTTAACATTGCTTGAAAACATTAAGTCCTTTGAAGCATGTTCCCTGAAGTCTATTAAACATTCTTTCTCTGTGCTCAAATGTCAAGCAATATCCAATAGCATCTTCTGTTTCTTGAATTCGTTTCTGGAACCTGCATCCATCCCTTGCAAATTCTTCCCATGGTCCTTTGCGATCCTCATCACCACTTATATAATACTCAGTAACTTCTTCAAGGAAGGTTACCTACAAAAACAAAGACTAATTTTAATAACTCTCTAGGATCTTACAATTAGCGTTGAGGTCAATAACCCTTTATGCTACCAATTTTTTCAGAATATAGAATATCTTACTATTCCCAACTAAAAATAACATCTTGTTCTGAGGAATATTTGGTTTCAGCTATATCTGAAGTTAAAGAAAAAAAAAAAAAGTTCTGTCACGCCTGTAATCCCAGCACTTTGGGAGGCAGAGGCAGGCAGATTACCTGAGGTCAGGAGTTCAAGACCAGCCTGGCCAACATGGCGAAACCCTGTCTCTACTAAAAATACAAAAAAATTAGCCAAGCGTGGTGGCGCACGCCTGTAATCCCAGTTACTCAGGAGGCTGAGGCAGGAGAACAGCTTGAACCTGGGAAGTGGAGGTTGCAGTGAGCCGAGATCGCACCACTGTACTTCAGCCTGGGCAACAAGAGCGAAACTCTGTCTCAAAAAAACAAAAGTTCTGATTAGATGGCATTTGGATAAAATAGTGAACAAATGTCACCTAAATATTTCATGTAGAGACATATATCTTTCATTTATATATATATATCCTTCATTTATCTATATCTGCATAATACACACACACAGTCGTCTGCCCCCACGCATCCCCCACCAGCCCTTGGCTTTTGGTGTTAATAAAATGAATCCAGATGGGGAATTGAATTTTTCATGCTGTTATTAACCCCTGCTATTTTTTAATCCTTAGGGAAATACAGTTCTGTGATATTCTTCCCTCAAAATGATAAGTAAAATATTTCTGAAAATAACCGCCATATCCCGGGAAGTCACTGCTTTTATCATTGCATAAAGGCTTTAACAATATTTTTGCTTACTTCTATTCTTTTTCCTTTTAGAAAATGTTTTCACTTTCCAACTTTTAAATCAACATGTAGTACTATTTTTGTATCATTACTTTGGCAATAACAATACAGAAGAGAAAAAGTTACTTAGTAAACAAAGTACAGCAAAATTAGTATTTTTAACGCTGTGTTACTCTAAGAAACTTTGTAGTTAAGATTTCAAAAACCTTTGTATTCAATATGCTATCCTATATATGAAATTGTGATTATAATATACATAATGACATGTAATGAGTGACAATCCCTACTCATTACTACTTAATCACTACTTAATTTCTATGAAGCTTCTTTCTAAGCTATCAAACTCCAAAAGCAAATACTCACTTTAAAGTATGTTTAATAGTTACATCAGCTAACCCTACTGTGGCCTACTACTTTCGTTCCCTTTACATCAGGCCAAGGGATGCCCCTGAGGACAATTAGCAGGTATGTAACACCTTACCAGTTATTGCATTCTAGTCTTGAATACTACTCATTCATTGTGTCATTAAGATAAATGATAAAAACGTACAGTGTTTATCATATACCAGCTCTTTTCAAAGAGCTTCACATTTTTATCTCATTTAATCCTCACATTAACCCTATGAGGTACGGATCATTATACAGATAAGAAAACAGAGGTAGAAGGGTTTTTTAGACTCACTACCCATCATCGTATATACTCCATATATTCCATACATCATACTCCATATATACCAATGACAGGTAGTCAAAGGCTGTCAAATAATTCTATCATATTCAGACATAATCATTTACAAATTCTGCTTCTAATTCACAGTCAATAGTATCATCTACTCCACTCATTTCATTTTACTCAATGAGCAAGCTAAAATTAGACATGAGACTGGCCTGAGGTCTCTCAATAAGGGCTAGCATTTAAAGGCAAGGCAATAAATTCTGAATTTTATTTACTTGTCTCATTTAAATCTTGCAATAACTTGTACAATAGATATTATTATTTTTCCCATCAAGTAAGAGTGAATTGAGGCCATGAGAGTCAAGTAACTTGCCAGGTCTGGCTGCCTTCCAAATCTCTCCACCTTAACCACTGAGGAGCAGAGAACACAGGGCTCCAGCTGCCAAGTGCTCATTCCATTGCCCCACTTTGTTTCTTACCTATTCATTCTAAATAGGTCATTTTGTCAGGGGCCCCTTAAAAGGACAGAGAGATGGCATTTACACAGTGTGAACTAAAATTTAATTTTTAACATGACTTATTCTGCCCTAAAGGTAAGACGTAAGATTATCACCACTTGGAGATACTTTCTATCCAGGAATAATTTCAAAGTATTAAGCTGGCCATTTGGAGCCAAGAGATTATGGCACTGTCCATCTGAAACTCCCCAGTGCGGCGGAAGCTGAGGTCAGTAATAACTCACCCACTATCTTCTCTTTCCAAGTAAGGGCATAGAAAACTAAAAAAACTTTCCCTCTACAATAGACACCTTTCGGTTTGCGGAGAGTTCAATTAATAACTTTAGTTAAAGCAACTATAAAGAAAAACAAACCAACTCAAAACACTCCCAAAATAAGGTTAACCTGAAATTAGCCTGGGAATAGGAAGCAACTAGTCAAGATAAACCAAGTAAGTGGCCATCACTGTTTTTATTAATATTAACTGTAGCTGACCACTGATAACTAGCACTGCATTCCTAAGAAAAGGCAATACCATTTCCTGTATTGGCTTTGACTTTCAATTAAAATCATGTAACGTCAAAACCACTGAAATTACTATTTTCTTTCATGGCAAATTGGACCAAATAAATCTTACTTACTACTTGATATCATCATCCCTTTGGGTTGTAATGGACAGGAATGAAGACACTCTTGTTATGTGCAAACAAAATATTAAGTATTTGCAAACAACATACATTTAAAATCAGATTAAAACTCTATGGCTGTAACAGGACCTTTTCAATCTCTAGAAAAATTAAATCGTGTATACACAAAGTTTAATAGTCCGTTAAAAAGTGTGAAAAGTTGAAGCTTGTAAAGAAACAGTCCAGAACTACCAACCCAAAGAAAAATGGCACTTTCCTGCTAACATCTACACGCTGGTATGTTCGTGGTGGACAGCAAAAATGTGCATGGGGGTGGGGAGTCAGGGAGAGGAGAAGGGTCATTTACATATTTCTCAATGCAAGTATACGAACTTAGAGGTCTTCCTCAAAAACACATGCACTCCTAAGCCTCCAAAGTCATGCTGCTATATTTAACCATATCAAAATAGTCAGAACATATCAGGCATGTTAAAAGATAAGAAACAAACCTTTCTTCTTTTGACATGTGTCTGTCTTTCTCCAGAAAGAACGTCACGCTGTACCGAGTCTGGACATTCACTTTCTTGGCTCCCCAACAGCTGCACCTTACAAGAAAGTAAGGTGTGACACTCAGAAATGGCCACAATGGACTCATATGGGGTCTTTGAGTCACGACAGCCTTTCCCATTTTCCCCTGATGTTTGAAAAGGAGCCTTAAAATTTAAAGGGTTGTAAGGGTCATCAGAATTACAGAAAGAGTTCCACAGTTTGAGACTCTCTGCTTCATCTGCACTAGATTCCCAGTCATCTTCCTCCCCAGAACTATGCTCAGGGGTCTCAGGAAGGCTTCCAGACTGGGAGGAATTCTCTAGATCAGACTTGCCAGACAAATCCTTCTCTGAATCAGAAGGCTCTTCAGGAACAATTCTGGCAGCAGTCTGAATTGTTGCTGTAAAGTTCTGGGGATGATAAGGATCTACACTGTAGAAAGAGTTCCAAAGGTGAAGCCCTTCAGGGTCTTGCTCAAGGTCTGAGTCTGACAGTGAGCTATCACTATCAAAACCATCATCCTCAGCTTCCTCATCCCAATCCTCACCTTCTGGATCAGAACTTGTTTCCAGGTCACTGGATGCACCTCCCAAAATATAATCTATCAGTTTGTTACTACAAGCTGGTCTGGCAGAAATGGGAAGGTCATCTTTTAGGTATGAGTAATCTACTACACTTATTCGGCCCTCTCCAGGCTCCTTTTCCATAGGTATCTCACAAGATGGACAGCTCTCAGAAGGGCTCTGTTCTTCCAAAGCAAGTGGAACCTCTGCAGTTAATAATTCTATTTTTTCTTCAGTGGATTCCTGGGTGGTTCCAGGAATGTCTTCAGCAGCAGGAACAAACTGTGTTGGGTTATCTCTGCAGTGTTTCAGATCCATCAGGAGAAGGTTGTGTTCCTCCTCCAGGCTGTGGTAGCCATTATCCTGGTCAGGGGTGGGTAACTCTTGCCCCTTGCTAGCCTGCTGAAGGAATTCCAGTCGTTTCATGCGAAGATGGTGAATTTCTGGTAGGCCTTCTGTAGAAAGAGGTGGACATCCCTGCCACGAGGCCGGAGTGAGTTCTGCACTCAGCGGCTGGGGATGACAAGGTTCCTCTCTCAGGCAGCTGCTCTCTGCGGTTAGTGTCTGGAAGCCGACTAGCTCGCCATCTCCATCACTGTTCTGATAGCTGACTTCTAGCCTAGGAAAGCAGTCCAGGTAGGAGGGGCTCAGCAAATAGGATACCACATTAAAAGTGTCTATGCGTTGAATGTTTAGAGGCCCAGAGAGCGAAGAGCCAAGTTCCCGGTCAGAGTACAGACGGGATTGAAGGCTACAGGGCAACAGCTCCACTCCCCCTAGCTGCTGCTCTAAGAGAAAAGCGTGTGCTGCAGGGTTCAAAGCACTTCCCTTGGCCTTAAGCTCCAATTCTAAGTCTGGGGGCGAACACTGCCAGTGGATCCCCTCCTCTAGCCAATTAAGGGGACTGGTGGCCGAGGAGTCTGAGGAGTCGAGCTTCAGCGAACTCAAAGATTTCTGCGCTGTGGAGGCGGCTGGTTTCTCCCGTCCCTTCAGGGATCTGTAGACTCCAGCAAAATCTAGCCATCTGGTCGGAAACATTCCACCGAAAAGTTGGCTCCAAATTAGCACCTTCTGAAGCAATCCGGGGAGCGGCGCAAGGAGCTGGGAGAGCAGCTTCGTCCAGTAGCTGACCCGAGTCTCGGGCTGGGCGGAGGAAAGCAGTGTGGGGTCCCCGAAGTTTTCCGGCGCAAGAGGCGTCGGGAACTTAGAAAAGCCTGCTTGCGATCGCCGAGGGAAAAAGGGTGGCCAGAACCGGAAGCCGGCCCGAGGGCCAGGCCGTTTCCGCAATCCGCCTGTCTCAGGCTCCATCTCCTTTTCCTTGGCAGTTTCTCGGGTAGGGCCGCGGGGCTCAGCGGCTGGAGGTCGGATGGGATTCGGAGGAAACCTACAGAGTCTCGGCCTTGCCCAGCGGTGGCGTCGGTGCTCCAGGCCGATCTCCGAGCCAGCAGAAAAGCCACAGAGGGCAGCGGATGCGGCAGCGGACGGCAGAACACAGGGAGAAACACCCCGCGCAATACGCGGCAGCTGATGCGACTTCCATCCTGGAGGGAAAGGACGTTCCCTAGTCGGCTCGACGCTTCAACACCATCGACAGGAGCCTGCCCACGGCCTCGGCGGTGGTTTTCTGAGTGACAGAAGGTTGAAGAACCCCTGAGCAACGCGACACCAGAAGGGCTAGGTAGGTTGGCTGGTGCGGTGGAAGCGAAGCCCAAAATGGCCGCAGGGCCCGCGCGCCGGCGGGACACCCCCCCAGCCGCCGGAAGAGACGCAGGACTGCTGGGCGTCTACGCCACTAGCGCCGCGCCGCGCCGCCCAACGTCTCTCTCAAAGCCCCGGGGGGCGGGGCTTTCCGCCCACTTCCGTGTGGCCACCGATTGGTCGCGCCGGATTTCCCTGTCGGCTTCCTTACTCGAGGTAGAGCCGCACGGTAGCGCGGGGTTGCATCAGCCGGCGGGATGCACGCATGCGCAGTTGTTTCTGTGTGGTCTCAGGCGACCGCCCCAACAGCCCTCTAGGCTAAAGGGCTTGGGTAGGAAAGGGGTTTTCAAGATAACCCGAGAATTTCCCGGAGGCGTTTTGATGGCCTAATACACACTAACGTGTGTACAGTCATCGCCTCGTATAAAATGGGGATTAGTTCCAGGACGCCGTAGACACCAGAATCCGCAGATTCTGGTCAAGTCCGTTATGTAAAATGGTGTAGTGTTTGCATATAACCTACATACACCTTCCCAGATACTTTAAATCATCCCCTAGATTAAGTAAATTACCTAATACAATGCAAGTGCTATGGAACTAGTTGTTATATTGTATTTATTTGTATTATGTTTTATTGTCTTTATTTTTCCCGAATATTTTCAATCCATGGAAGGTTGAATGCCCCGTGGGCCAATTATAGGGTTATCGTAGTCTTAAATTTTTATTATTTATTTGTTTGAGACAGGGTCTGGCTGTGTCCCCCAGGCTGTAGTGCAGTGGTGCGATCTCGGCTCACTGCAGCCTCAACCTCCTGTGCTCCAGTGAGCCTCCCACCTCAGCCTCCTGAGGAGCTGGGATTACAGGCTCGCACCACCACGCCCAATTTTATTTATTTATTTATTTTTTTTGGAGACGGGGTCCCACTCTGTCGCCAGGCTGGTGTGCAGTGGCGCTATCTCGGCTCACTGCAACCTCTGCCTCCTGGGTTCAAGCGATTCTCCTGCCTCAGCCTCCCGAGTAGCTGGTACTACAGGTGCGTGCCACCACGCCCAGTAATTTTTTTGTATTTTTGGCAGAGACAGGGTTTCACGATGTTGTCTAGGATGGTCTCGATCTCCTGACCTTATGATCTGCCCACCTCAGCCTCCCAAAGTGCTGAGATTACAGGCGTGAGCCACTGCGCTCAGCCAATTTTTGCATATTTTTGTGGTGACAGGGTTTCGTCGTGTTGCCCAGGTTGGTTTCAAACTCGGCTCAAGTTATCTGTCCGCCTGGGCCTCCTAAAATGCTGGGGTTACAGGCGTGAGCCACTGCGCCCAGCCTGACAGGTATTTCAGGGTTCTCCTATTGTTTAGTACTATGTAGACCATCAACCTGAGATCTTATGTAAAAGGTGGGCAGTGCTGCGTAAATACATGTCTGATATGGGGCAAACTAAACTCACAGAGAAGCAGCTCAGTTCCCAGAACTATTTCCTCTCTTTTATGCTTCCAAGCAGGCAACATATTCAAATCATATTTATGAATACTTCCTTAGCAACCAGAACCACCGAATACAACACCCAAAAAGGAAACATGGACCACTATCCTTTGAAAAAAAAAAATTGTCTGGTAATTTTAATTGCTGTATTTGATTCTCTCTTGTGAGTTTGGTCTTAGTTCATTTCTTTATTTCTGCCAAAACTTTGTAATAGATACTCCTGAAGTCAGGTATCAATTACAGAGGGAGGGTGACAGTTATGAGCACTAGAGACAGCAGAAAAATCTTTAAGGAGCCAGAAGGAGACCAGCAGCTCTTCCTGCCTTACTGGGCCTGTTCAAGAACAATCACTTCTTTTTCTTTCTTTTTTTTTTTTTTTTTTGGTTTGTTTGAGACCAAGTCTCGCTCTGTTGCCCAGGCTATAGTGCAGTGGCGTGATCTCCGCTCTCTGCAATCTCTGCCTTCCTGGGATCAAACTATTCTCCTGTCTCGACCTCCCTAGTAGCTAGGACTATAGGCGCCTGCCACCACGCCTGGCTAACTTTTATATTTTCAGTAGAGACGGGGTTTCACCGTGTTAGCCAGAATGGTCTCGATCTCCTGACCTCGTGATCCGCCTGCCTCAGCCTCCCAAAGTGCTAGGATTACAGGTGTGAGCCACCATGCCCGTCACAACCACTTCTTTCTAGGAAGCCAAGAGGACCTCAGTTTCTGTTGTTTACCCTGTATTATTATCCATACCTCTGGAAAATCTCAATCCTAAGAACTTCAGAAAAATGTATTAATAATAGAGGTCAGTTTCATAATAGAGATCCAAGTAGGTAAATTTGTTACTGGAAGCCTGTTTCTTGTAAAGTGAGGCTAGTAATTCCTCTTTCAATGCGTTGGTAAGAAAACTAGGTTTTCTCAATGCCTAGCCTAGACAGAGTAGGAGCACAAAGATTAGCTAATATTCTTGTATGGTTCTGCTTCACAGTCTTCAGTTGTTTCCTCATTGCCTGCAGAATAAAGGCTCTATTCAGCCTGTCCTCCCACTGTACTCTTCCAGCCTCCTCTGTCACTTGTCTTCATGCATGTTATATTCTAGGAACACTGGACTTACCTATACTCCTTGTTTCCGGCCTTTACTCATGCTGTTTCTCAGCCAAGAAAAGCTTCACCTTTCCTGTTACATACCTACTCATCCTTCAAGATCCAATTCAAATGTCAGCTTCTCCTTGAAGCCTTTGTTGACCTTTCCAGCCAGAATTAATGGATCCCTCACAGCATTTATATTATTCTGCTCTATTAGAGCACTTAACACATTGCATTACATATACCTATAAATGTTCTCTCTTGCTGGTCCCTGAACTCCTTGAGGGCTGTATCCAACTATCTAGCAAAGTGGTTCCCAAAGTATGGTGTGGGCACCCCTGGGGATCCTGCTTTGAAACCCTTTCAGAGAGTCCTTAAGGCCAAAAATATTTTCATAATAATTCTAAGCTTTTTTAACTTCCATTTTCTCATGCATGTACAGTGAAGTTTTCTAGAAGATACATGGTGTGTGATATGGCAACAGAATGAATGCAAAAACAGATAGATATGAGATTCTAGCCATTTTATATTAAGCCAGATACTAAAGACATTTGGAAGAAATGTAAGACAGTGCCACTTTTCTTGCTAAGCTTTTTATGTTTTGAAAAATAATTGAACATTACCAGCCTGGGCAACATGGCGAAACCCTGTCTCTACAAAACATATAAAAATTAGCCAGGCATGATGGTGCACACCTATGGTCCCAGCTACTCAGGAGGCTGAGGTGGGAGGATCGCTCGAGTCTGGGAGGCAGAGGTTGCAGTGAGCCAAGATTGTACCACTGCACTGCAGCTTGGGCAACAGAGTGAGATCCTGCCTCAAAAAAAAAAAAAAAAAAAAAAAAAAAATTAACATGTAATTGGTTTATTATTTTTAAATGAATTTTAAATTTTTATTGTATTTTTTGTTAAAGACAGGGTTTCATATGTTGCCCAGACTGGAGTGCAGTGGGTATTCACAGGGGCAATCACAGCACGCTATGGCCTTGAACTCCTGGGGTCAAGCAGTTCTCCTGCTTCAGCCTCCCAAGTAGCTGGAACTACAGGTGCACACCACCATACCCAGCCTAAATGAGCATTTTTCAGTTCCTCAGTTTTGAATTCATAAATAGGAAATATTGATAGATATAAACCACATAAAGGCATAAAGTTATTTGGGGTCCTTAGTAGGTTTTTTTTGAGACAGGATCTTGCTGTATTGCCCAGGCTGGAGTGTGGTGCCATCACGGCTCACTGCACCCTTGATCTCCCAGGCTCAAGCAGTCCTCCCACCTCAGCCTCCCAAGTTGTTGGCATGGCAGGTGTATACCACCACATCTGTTTTTTGTTTTTTTTTTTCATTTTATTTTATTATTATATTTTTGAGATGGAGTCTTGCTCTGTTGCCCATGCTGGAGTGCAGTGGTGCAATCTCAGCTCACTGCAAACTCCATCTCCTAGGTTCAAGCGATTCTCCTGCCTCAGCCTCCCAAGTAGCTGGGATTACAGGCACCCAGCACCACGCCTGGCTAATTTTTATATTTTTTAGTAGAGATGGTTTCACCAGGTTGGCCAAGTTAGGATTTCTTTTCTTTTTAGTAGAGATGAGGTTTCGCTATGTTGCCCAGGCTGGTCTCAAACTCCTGAGCTCAAGCAATTTGCCTGCCTTGGCCTCCCAAAGTGCAGGGATTACAGCCATGAGCCAGCACACCTGGCTGGGGCCCTCAATAATTTTTAAGAGTATAAACTTTTTTCTTAGACCAAAAAGTTTAAGAACCACTGAGGTAGTATGTTGACTGGTACATAATAGGCACCCAATAAATGTTTGTTGAATGAACGGAAGAGTAATAATACTTTAAAATAATGTCATCTTCCTTAAGACCAAGCCTCTTGCATTCCACTGTCAACTTTGTCACCAACTGACATCACATACCCCTGAAAACAATTTCTTAAAACTTTCTTGAATGGAACTCCCCTTCCCCATGTAGTCATTGGATATATAATTTTTATTCTTCTTTATGTTAGAAGTTGATCTAGAGAGGGAAAATGCAATCATAAAGTATTTGGGCTAGGCATGGTGGCTCACACCTGTAATCCTAGCACTTGGGAGGTGGGCCAACTGCTTGAGCCCAAGAGTTCAAGACCAGCCTGAACAACATATGGCAAAACCCTGTCTCTACAAAAAATTCGCCAGGTGTGGTGGTGTGCACCTGTGTTCCCAGCCACTCGGGAGGTTGAGGTGGGAGGATCACTTGAGCCCAGGAGGTTGAGGCTGCATGAGCTGAGAACATGCCACCACACTCCAGTCTGGGTGACAGAGACCCTGTCTTGAAAGAAAAAGGGATGGAAGAAAGAAAAGAAAGAAGAAAGAGGGAGGGAGGGAAGGAAGGAAAGAAAGAGAAAGAGAAAGAGAAAAAAGGAAAGGAAAGGAAAGGAAGAATGGAAGGAAGGGAGGGAGGGGAAGGAGGGAAGGGAAGGAGGGAGGAGGGAGGGAGGGAAAGAGAGAGAGAGAGAGAAAGGAAGAAAGAAAGAAAAAGAAGGAAGGGAAGGAAGGAAGGAAGGGAGGGAAGGGGAAGAAGGAAAGGAAAAAGGAAGGAAGGAGGAAGGAAGGGAGGGAGGGAGAAGGAAGGAAGGGAAGGAAGAAAGGAAAGAAAGGAAAGGAAAGGAAGAACTATAGGAGGGGAGGGAAGGAGGGAAGGGAGGGGGAGGGGAGGGGAAGGGAGGGGGAAGAGAGTGCACTGGGGAGGGGAGAAGGCAAGAAGGGAGGGAAAGGAAGGAACCTGAGCAACAGCCTACAAGTTTATGGAAAAAAAGTTTAAAAAATTAAAATATTTGAGAGCTGCCTCTGAGAATATGTGACTTTGCCTTGTTCGTCTCAGCTGGAAAAGTGTGACTCAGGGGGGAGGGGGGAGGGATTGCATAGGATTTATACCTGATGTAAATGACGAGTTGATGGGTGCAGCACAGCAACATGGCACAAGTATACATATGTAACAAACGTGCACGTTATGCACATGTACCCTAGAACTTAAAGTATAATAAAAAAAAAAAAAAAAGTGTGACTCA